TTTAATTAAATTCGGCCTGTATAAAATCTATTGAACTTAATTGTAAAAATGTCATTTTTTAGATTCAAATAACGTAAATTTAAATAATTATCTTTTTATTTTATTTTATAATTCCCCTTTACATTAATCCGACAATGAGTGACGATGAAATTCGCGTAGTGGTCGCCATTGGTAAATCAATTATATGTTTACAGAGCACTTTTGTTTCTTATATTATTAAATCAACCCCATTTATTCCGTTTATTTAAAGATTTTGGAACAACTTGTTCAGGTATGTACTCACTCTTGATGAAAAATATTCTAAGGTTGTTAAAAGGCTCTTCTATTTTTCATGTTAGGATTTGCTTATTCTCACGCCCGCGATCGTGAAATTACCTGTCAATATTCATGGTAATAGATAGATAATTTAATATATCATGGAAGTATATTAACTAAATTTAATAATTTGCAAAGGCCAGGTCCAAACAATACGCGAACATTATTTCCAAAAGTTCACACCGTGCTCCAATATGATGAATCCTGGAATGTAGTAGCATGGGGTGAAAGTGCTTTGGCCAGAGAAATAGATTTCTGGGATGATAATGAAGAATGCGCTGATAAGGTTGCAACGACAACGCTGGAATACTTCAAGCTGCATTTAGCTGGTTCTGAAGAAGAAAAGCCCTACTTGCCAGAAGGATTTGATTATCGAAAAGCAATTAAAGATTTTCTCAAAAAAATGATGGAAGTATGTTCATCCATGTGTCAATATGATTTTTGTTAAGTTTTATTTAAAGTTTTTTTGAAAAAAAATATACATAGTTGGTCAAGGAAACCCTTACTAAAAGATGGCAAGAATTAGAAATGTCTCAAGTCCGATTTGTTTTTACCATACCAGCGCAATGGTTTGTTTAATGATATAAGATTGTTTTCTTTTATTAGCATCATTGATTTTCCCTTAACATTAGTTCAACTTTGAAAGAACAGAAAATATTAATGGAACGGATTCAAGATATCCTTGAGTAGGGCTTCAAAAAGTATCAAATTGATACTAAAGTGATATTGAAATATACTGATCTATAGTAAATTTA